GTCGGAATGTACAGCATAGGGCGCTTGGTGTTCATTGTTACGCGGCGGTTGGTCTTGGCCTTGACGTAACGGCCTACTGTGCGCTTATCGTATTATCATTTACACAGTAAGACTTAAGGCAATAGGGAGACACGATCCTCTCCGTGTAACTTTATCCTTCGAAACATAATCACGAGAATCAAGTAAGATGCAATTATTACACCGATCAGCGATCATTGACCAGAGGCGATTATTAACTTTCACTATTGATAGTTCGTAAATATATCGAAATTATTTATGAAAGCAGATATTTTATGTGATTTATTCGAGATTATAATCGAAGCGATAGAACATAACAATTAAAAATTATTTTGTGAAAATGGTTTCTTAATATAAATGAGCTAAAATGTACTTTAAGTAATTAAAATTAAATTCACCTGTGATATAGAAATTATTAAAATGATTAAAAAACCAATTTTTACATATAATTGTAACTATGTGTAATAACTTTTCTTTGTCAACTTCGATTGTTCAAAAATTGTAGTGACCCTTATACTTTTATAGAATTTTCCATTTTAATTAATGTAAAATAAAAATATTATACAGTATTTATAAGATATCTTCTATGTTAACTTAATCGAACATTGTGTAGTCACATGAATATTTTACACGGATTATAGATACATTCAGATATAATTGCATTTAAATATTTATTCATGTTCTTCTTTTATATTAATTTATAAGATAGTTATCTGTACAATTATTAACGCCAACCATTGTTCGATTTACACCTGAGCGATGATACAATTGTCAGATAAATTAGATGACTTTTCCTTCTTGCTTCTCTCTCATGTATTGCTTCTCACATCTCATAATTATTTCTAAAAACTGATAGACTTAAGCACAAAAATATTTATATATAAAATTGAAATAAAAAAAGTTAATGATAATTAATGGTAAAAAAAATGACTAAAAAGTTTTTAATATTTTAGTACAATTTTGTAGTATATTAATTTTTCAATAATCTTATTTATTTCTATATTTTGTTAATCTTTTAAACAAGAAAGAAAAACGATGGACTTTAATGGATAATTAAAAGAGGCATTATAAATTATTAGCTTGTATTTTATTACATACATTGCATTGATTTTGCCCCACGATTGCAATATCACACTTTCGCGTATCACAACATATGTATGTGCTTCGATAATGAAGCTTAAGTTTCTTCATAGTACAATGACTCGCGCTGCATTAAGAATTACGGATCATCTATTCGATCCATTGTATAGCCCGCGGCTGCGTGTACTGATTGTCCCTAATTCATATATAATTCATACCAACCGAGAGTAGAGACGCTATCCTGCTAATTGGATAGCACATGCACATCGACAAGATAATACAATAATTTGCAGGTGTATCACGCGCGTGCATTTTGCCTATATAATATAAGAACGCGTTGCAAGACTAATTTGCGTCCTGTAATCGCGTAATAATAGCGTGTCCTTTCTTTCCTCTCTCCCTTTTTCTTCTTAATCTATCTCGATCGTTCTAGAGAATATTAAACCTTTCGTGCTGCTTCAAATCCTGTTTGAACATTACACATTAAAATGTTGGGATAAAATGACGAAAGAGATAATACGTTTATGTGACCAAGCAAGCAGCTATAAGAACTTACTGATCAAACGCGTGCTATTTTATCAGTAACACTTTAATTCCTAAGTTAATAATCATTTTGCCCAGCATATATGTCAAGTGTGCAAATAGCGAAACTAATTACATTCTATAATCATGTTCAACAATTTTAATGTGTCTTTTTGTTTTATAACTTTCTTATTATCGCTAATCGAGCATGTCCGATATGTTTGTTTCGAGGTTAAAGGACTTAAAACTTTTTATTTAAGCACTATTACCTAATAATGTGACATGAATACACGATATATCAACAATTACATTTGCATATAGTCTTTTTATCTATTTCATTAAAATGCAATTACGCTTATATTTATGTTATATTTTTTCAGAAATAATAATCTACATTTCTCAAAGAACTAATAAATATACGTATTGTGAAATATTCAGATCTATATCGAAAAAAAAAATTGCTGATACTTTTACTATAACATTAATCTTGCAAATCATTCTAATGGTTAACTAAATGGTAAATTAAATCATGTTTTCTGATCGTATAATTATAACTCATTTTCTCGTCATTTAATTTTTTTGTATTATTTCATGATAATGTGCAAAATTATTTTTACGTCTCCTATCTCTATGATGATAAATTTTTATGTGTATTTATTATTTTAAACAATTACAATTTGAATTTGAAACAGAATCGACGAAATAATAAATCTAATTAAGTGAATAAAGGTTTCTATTTTTTTATTTCACGGATTATTATTTTATATATTTTTCAGATTTTTATTTCATAATATTTCACACTAAATCATGCCACATAGTTTTCAAAGAGAGATTTGATTGAAAATAAATGATTATTACAAGTAATTTGCTTTTTAATTATAATAAAGTTAATGATTATACATTATTGCTATCATTAATTCGTTATTACTAATAATATAAATATTAAATTATTATTGCATTACACCAATAGAGATTAATGAACACATTTGAATTGAAAAATTTAATATAATTTAATTTAATTGTTCCGCGCAATATGAAAAATTTATATAATTTCACACAATGTATAATGTCGCAAAGGTAATCTTTCAATTTGTCTTGCTACAAAGACGATAGTGCCACCTAATTATATTAGTTGAAGAAGGCTTATAATTATATCAGGATGATTAACTGCGACACGTTATTTCGTTCCTGATACGATCAAAACTGCATGCATAGTACCTCGTTTGCCAGGTCTATCGCTCATTTCTCATTGCAAACCACGATGAGGCATCCATCATACTTGCGTTCGCCGGTGTATGTTAAATTTATTGTCTACAAGTTCATGTAACATTCAGAGTGGCCATAGGCTATTATACGATCCTTTCCTGTCAAAACATTTTTCGCGAACCATTGATTTATAATCGCTTTATTGCAAAACCTTACGTGTTTGTTATTCTTATTTAAGCAATATTATGGAACGCTTATGCGCATAATACAAAGAAAATAAAAAAAATATAAACACCTATAAGAGATAAAATGTAAATACCTGCTTTGTATACATATAAATTCTTTGTTAAACATTTTGACGCTTTATATTTAATAATTATAAAATGACTAATTCTTTAACATCAAATACATAAATCAGGAATGTCTTGCTGAGATACGTAAGAAGTGTGTGTGTTGTGTGTGTGTGTGTCTTAACATTATCAATTTTCTCTAGATTGGATCAATAACGGACTCTCATCAAATTATATACCAAATTAAATCCGCGTTATTTTGAATTTGCAATCTTATTTTTTATTGTGAATATGTAACAGTTCAACGTTTCATTACGAACAAACAAAAAATTTAACATCCATCATTATTCATTTAAAAATAATTACTTGTCATTGTTTGATTAAAAGTTTTATCAGTATTTTAACGAATTTTGAGTTAAAGTGTACAAGAAACAAATCTTAAGATACAAGTACATTCATTCGCGATATTGCGTTTATAAAGATAACTCTGATACGACAGTGAGGTATTATAATATCGAGAATCGAGCAGATACAGTTATGTCGGAGTGCTGACCTGACATATTCATAACAATGCTAGGCGTGTCGCCGACGTGTTGCAACTGATTTCAACAACCGTCTATGCGTTTTGTTCGCGTTACCATCGATCGCGACGCGTAAGCATATGCGTGCACCGTACATAATCGAAACGCACTATTGTGGAACGATATATGTAGACGCTATACTAACGCACGAATCATGACGTACTCATGGTAACTAGTCTTGCACAGGCGGTCGCTGGCATGAAGATGCCTTAAATGTCAAGGCGAGGACACGGTGGACTGCTTGAACACACAGGCCGTCTCTCTTTGGCCTACAAGCTCGGCTGATGCACTCCGCGAAAGGGAACCTCGCATTCATTGAAACCTTTCCTGTCAAGCTTGAATAATCTCTAATCACTGCAGCCTCCATTGCATTATAGATACTACGAAATTCCGAGAATGTTATAGAAAGTGATAGTTCCGGTATATAATGGTTATACACACAAAATGGACAACATCTAAACGTTTGATAGACGCTGATCTGGAAATAATTTTGTTGAACTATCAAAATAATTATATAGAAAATTTAAATATAATGAGCAAAAAACTTTAATACTCTAGTAATCAGCTTGAGCATCTCTCTCTCCTACATAATTATTTTTATAGTTTAACAAAATTATTTTCAGATCTGTATTTAGCTAAATTTTTAGGTTTTACTTCAATAAAAACCGTTCTTTTCGATTTGTATCTATTCAGCGTTTTTAGAACATTTTCTCGAATCAGAAAAATGCAGATTCGGAAATTTCTGTATTTAATGCTGTATGAGTGCAATAAAAAAGCAAATTTTAATTTAGTCTTTGTTTAATTTCCGTAACGCATATTCACCATTATTACATAATTTAATTAACGTTAAAAGCTATTATTTGTGTGTGTATGTGTTTGTGTGTGTGTGTGTATGTAAAAACACTACTTCGAAATAATATTAAAATATTAAAAATTACATAACAGAAAATTCGATATTCTTCTGTCATGTTTGTATCATGAATGACCATTGATAGTGGTAGGTAATTCGTAACGGTTGATTTAAAATCAATTTCCTGATGTTAAAGTGAACCGACTATTTCGCTCATTAAGTACACGGATTTTCGATATACGTAACAAGACATTTGAAAGCGCGAGGAAAGTTCATGAATAACAAGCTGTTGAATTTAGGAGAGTACGTTTTAGCGACTCATAAAACATTTTTCTGTTTGTGCGTTGATTACATGTGTGTGGACTTTCTCCCTATCGCATTGATGTTTATTGTTTGAAAGACGACGTTAATATTTCCTGTATAATTAAGGGGGAACTTTTTTCTGTATTTTAGGACTCCGTGGCGTCGGCGTCAGAGGTAGGCGAAGAATATGACGATTCCGACATGTATATGGAGCCGGATGAATCCGCAACGACTTCGCCACCAGATCGTACAGAGGAAAGTTCACAAAAGACTAATCAAAACGAGACATTAACCGATACTACCGACAAGAATAACGAGAAATCATTCGAAGTTGAGAACCCTGAAACTTCTAAAGATCAGGAGGCAAAGAACACGGATCATACACAGGTTGCCGATGTGGACAGAGGTTTAGAAACCGAAAGTCAAAATTTCTTCCCGACCTTTGCGGAACTCTTTGGAAATCACAGACTTTCATTTGCGGAACAGCAGCAGCGATATCGTCCTAACAGATTCCTAGGCTATTTCCAACGCGATCGTAATTATCAGACCGCCGCGAGTACTAAGGATCAACACTCTATACTAGGATCAGGTAACTTCGGCGTGATCCGCGGAGGTACTTATTATCCGGAGGATAAAGAGAATGACGAGTACGCGATAGATGAGAGTCTTTACAATCCGTACTATCATAATCGTGGTCGTGCGCAGTATTATAGAAACCCAAAACCGCAGCCAATTCGGGGCGGTGACTTCTTCGCAAACTTCCGTGATTTTGCTGACATTACGGCACCGCCAAAGTCCAGTTTCTCACATCTTTCGGTAGTATACGCTAACAAGAACGGCAGTTCTACTGGACGTGTCACGGAACCGAGAAATATCATCGAGACTCTCAGGATGTTGGAAGAAGAGGAGCGATCTAACGAGGAAGAAGTGTCCACGGAAATACCGAGGAAAAAGCAGAGCAAGGGCAAGGTGAAGCTTATGAAGATGAAACAGTACGAGGAGGACAAAGCCAGAAGATCTCGCATGTCCGTCGAACCGCTACTCGCTCTCAGCTGAGCGTAAAGAAATATCGCTAAAGTGTATGTTAATATGGACGCAAACCTCGGGATTTCTCCCAAACGCGGAATTTGGCCTCGAGATCAGAACCAAAGTCTGAAAAGCGTCATTTTTCTATTATTGGAGGAGAATGTACTGAAACGTGCAACAGGAACATAGAAGGTTCGCATCTTTGTTCATGTGCGGATGATACTGTGCGCGCATACGAACTTTTCGATCAAGCCGAAAAGCTGGCGACTGGAGAATCGTATTTTGAAATTAACGCGCGACGCGTCGCCGGTTAGACGGTATATACAATTCCTATTACTGGAATTCCGAAGACACTCTGTATCGATACAGGGATAAGCGAAAATGTCTGTTTATTGTTCTAATTTTCCGGAGCTGACGTGAGTCTGTTGGATCCATTCAATTATATTCTTTATATTACATCTGCAAATTTATTATTATCAAAATAAATATAGTATTCATTTTTTTTTCATATACAAGTTACATCATTTTTATTGATTTCTTGAAATTAATTAATGCTTTTAATCAACACATAATAATTAATGAATCTTACAGACTTAGTATCAGTAACTGTGTTACAGATTTTGAACAGATTTCGTCAACTCCGGAAGATAAATTTAATACTGTACAAAACTTCTATATCATTTCCTGAGCGATGCGAAAATTTGAATTAATTAATAGCATCTTAAGATAATAGCGTTAAGAATACAAGGCACTGCCGTTCCTGTTTATTGACCAATCGTTAGATCTAAAACGCACGTGGTCTTAATGTTTAAATTATTTCCTAAGCTAGTAACCGCATGAGTTTGAAGGATCCTAAATATAAGATTTTTCGGGCCTATAGTGCGTCGATTAAGAAATTCCATGTGGTGCTATATATGTTCCGCCGGTCATACAAACACCTTCTGGAGAAACTGTCCCGTTTCGGCAAGGCGCTTGCAAAGCTAACTAGCAACGATTATTCACAGAGACCTTTTACGTTGATTGAATTCACTTGCTCGTACGTGAACGTTACGCTCGAGTAAGCCGATTCCGGAATCGGTAACTCTTACCAACGACACTTGCGTTCGAACTAAAACCACGAGGCTCGTGCGCGCAGCCTCGTTAATATCCTATAACTATGCAAAACGCGTAAGCACATAGGATATACTTCAGAATATGCATGACATCTGTTTTTCTTAGATACAATTTTTACATTTACATTCGTTGCTCTTCTTTCTTTAAAATGTACCATAGTTTTTATTCTAGACGTTAAAAGTGTAAAAATAAGAAACGAAAAAACATAGGTCTGTAAAAAAAACCATAGTTTTCAATTTGGATGTTGAAAGTGTAAAAATAAGAAACTAAAAGACGTAGACCTGCGAAAATACACGCAACAAAATTTTGACAGCGTTGAATAGACTTACAAAAAACTTCGGTATTATTAGAAATAAATTATTTTAATGTGCTCTTCTATATTTTAATGTTTTAGCTAAAGCGGAAACGGGTTGCTATCGCATTTTTATGTGAAACGTTACACAAAATACGCGTGGCTTTGCGTGCATCAGAAAAATTAATTTTAATCGGCTATACTTTAAATATGTGAAAATCCACATATACATATATTCAGTAAACTAATAAAGACTGCTCATTTTGTATTCACTATTGATTATAAAAATACGTTAATTATTTTTCTCCATACTGTTTAGGTACAAAATTTATGATAAAATTGTGATTTGATAAAAAAATCTCTAAACGCATTTCTTGCCAATTGCAATGATTATGAAATAAAGAGTATTGGAGTGGAGAGGTCGTGCCAGAATTTCCGTAGAATTCCAGAACGACTTTCACCCAGGATGAATTTACGGCGAAGACTGCCATGTTATCTAACAAAAGACAAACAAAAGACAATTCTAAATCGACGAAAAATTTTCGCCGCAAATTTCGATTTGTTGTTTCACTTGTTGTTGATTATTTTAACTGTATTATTAGACTTATTGACCTACTTTAACGTTCAAAATGTGCGCGCCCCATTTACTTTATTTCAAAAGGGCGAGATAAAGAAATAAAATAAAATATATTTCTTTCAAAAATAACGTTCCTGTCCCATAATCCTACAAAAAATTAATTCTACAAAAAATAGGAATGTTCCGATCTCCAAAAAATTGATTTTTCCAAACTAGTGATTTTAAATCAACCTATTTTGCAAAAAATTGATTCTTCTAACTAAAAGATTCTTTTAAAAGTTTATTTTAAATTGATTTCTTTGTAAAAAAATCGCTGCTTTTTTATAATAAAAAGCGTTGTTTTGAGTTTATTTTTAATGAATTGATCCGGAGATTGCACATTCCTAACGAAAAAGCGTATTTATGCTGTACAATAATTTTAATATTTTTACAAACAACTTGCATGGAACAAAAGTACTTGTATTAAAAAATAATATACAGTTAAGGTAATAAAAATTTTTTCTTTTATATATAAATACAAAATACGTAAATGGTATACAAATAAAACAATATAAACAATTAAAGTGTAACGTGGTACATACATATATGTGATTTCTAGAAACATTTGCATATAAATTACTTGATGCATTTTTTTAACATTGTGACAAGTTTACCAATACCATCATAAACATCTGAATAAGTAGCTGGTTCATATAACCAGGCTGGTGTACTGAGAACGCCATAATTTTTATCTAACGTTACTCCTTTAACATCTTTCATTTCTATTTTAGCCCCCATAGCCTTAACCTGCTTGATAGCATCAGCATATGGCCAGTCTTTTTTAGGTGCTAAGAAATAATTTATAAATACAGGAATATTACAAAACACAGGAATATTAATGATAAAACGAACTGGCTTACATTCTTTGCCAAGTGTAACTTTCACACCCTTCAACACTTTAGCAACAAGCGCACTAGCTATGCACATAGTACCGATCGGTTTCTTTTCGCAATAAAAATCTTCGATCAGCTTCTCCAAATCGGGTAGAACAGTACAATCAGTACCCTTTTCGGCAAAATTGCTCCTTTATAAAAAAAAAGTTTATCTTTATAAAGATAATTAGAAATTTGCTTTAATTAGAAATTATTATAGTTCCCTGACGAAAAGTTTTTTACGAAAATTTGCGTAGAGTGGCACTGTTTGTTTGAAAAATCAAGAAATCCTCCGCCTTCAAACAACACCACTCTATGTCCCATTACAAATATCTACGAAAAATTAAGAATTTCTAAAATCATGTCTCAACCTTTCTAGTTTTTCTGTACTTTTTTGTAAAAATTTTTTTCCATCAATATATCTTAATGTCGAAATCTATGCCTTCGAAATCTATGATATCTAGGCACATTCACTATTTAATTAAGATTAAAGTACAAGAATATCTTTTCGTTTTATGCATGTATTATTTTGATTAACATAATCTTATTTGACTTTTTTCTATTTTACTTTCTATTTCTACATCATCATATCAATACATACAAAGTACGTGCAGCGCCAAATCCTCCAGGTATAATAAGGGCACCATGGGTACAAACTTCGCACTCACATAGAGGTTTTATGCACGCTCTTGCTAATCTGGCACCTTCAACGAGAGCATTTCTAGAACTTTTAGTATCCATCTCTCTGGTAAGATGATTGACTACACCACGAATTTCAATGTCCGGAGCATAAAATAATGGCTTCATCTTTTTATGCCGTAAATGTATAGCTGTTGAAATAGCTTCTGAAATTTCGGTGCCGTCAAGTCTACCACATCCGCATAATATCTTGAAAGAGCAAAATGTATTGTCAAAAATTATTAATTATTAAAGATCTAATCACACCATGTTTCCATGTTTAAAAGATTTGATAAAAAAAATTAAAATTGACATATTTAAAGTTTTTTTTAACTTTATTATATTTAAAATAATATTAATCGTAACAAGAAAATGTGAGTGTTCTGGAAAATTGTAAACATAAAAAGCTAACTAAAAATTACAAGCGCTGAAAACCATTTAACAATACTGTAATTAAATATATACATGTAAAAAAAGCAGACGTCATAGATTCATAGAAATACTTGATATCTCTTTTCGCGTATGCAAGCAACGAGCGCTGCTAAAAAATACATCATAAACGCATTTCTTACATTCGCGCTATAAAAATGTATTATCATTACAAAGATTTAATAGCTCAGGATTAACTACTACCGGTACAATTTCTTGCAGTAATTTTTTTAACAGAAAGAAATTTAACCGTTTTCCGTAGTAAGCACCGATGAAACGTTGCGTTGCGTCATGCCGCGAAAGTATAGAATACCGACATCACTTTTAACTCATATGCAGAATCATACAAGGAAAAAGTTTTAATAGTCCTGACATAGTTATAAATCCCAAGTGAGCAACTATATTTTAAACTTGCTTAAATTGGGTACTAAACGGGAATTACGACAATTATTACCTAATATCGAATATTTTACTACCTGATGTTAAATAATTTTATAAAATGAAATAACGTTATGCATATTTGAATCAGTTTGCAACAAAAGTGTAATTTGTGTTTTATAGATAACTTTCACAAAAACAGACATATATATAAAATCAAGATTAACAGAATATCGCACAAAATGCTTTAAATGAGCCAATTTACTAAGTATTAAAATGCAAGATATTTAAATAGAAAAATTGTACATGACTTATATATAATAATAATAATGTTGCGAATATTTTTGCATAAATTACATCCATAACTTCGAGTAAATATTTTTATTTTACTCTATGTAAAGGAGCTAAAGAAAGCAGTTTATTATTGTATAATACCTACTACGGCTACGGATATAGGTTCACAGCTTTTATCTCGTTTCAATTTATTTTGCCCTGCTGAAATTTGTGACGTATGAAGGTTATTGCAAAAGGCATGTATAAAAACGGATGTATCTCGTCGAAAGAGGGATACCATTCGTGGTCGCAACATTTTTTCTATACAAAAGAAAAAAATAAAAAATTTTTAATTTTATTAATTAAACATTAACGTATAAAGTGTTTTTTTCACGTTGAACCACGAAGCATGTACAATCTCGATAAATAATTTTTCCAAAAATGTCTGTTGCGATTCGAGATTGCGATTGTAATTTGTTTCCAACAGTTTTTCTATATAGAAAGGAATTTTTCATGGTGGAAGGAAATTAGGTGTGCTTTTTTTGCGCATTCTAATAACCAGTGAAAACATGACACCATATACCGTTATATTGCCGTCGTTATGAATTAAGGCGTTATATCATTATTATTTTACTTATTTTTGTTTTTTTATTTTGAATTATATTTACTTACAATATATAACATAATTAATTTAATATAATTAATTCTGCAATTTTTTTTTATCTACGCAAAATGGTACGAAATTTGTCTCGAGAACAAGCTCCGGAATATTTTCCACCATGAAATCTTCTTTATTAACCGTGTTTCGC